AGAGCGTCGCTATCGAAGATCCCACCGCAAACTCATACGTTTTGGAAAATATGGAGGAATACGCCGATTATGAGATAATGATGCAGGCATTCAATGACGTCGGTTCTTCAGCGGCGAGTCCAAAGGCTATCGAACGAACTCGCGAATCAGGTGAGATTGTCATGACTATTTTATTTATCATAAAAAAATTTTCAATTTACGAAAAAAGCATTAAATCAGTTTTAAACTTTTCTTTTCGTAAGGTTCGAAGATATATAATGCCAACATATCTTTCAGTTCCTTCTCTGGGACCAATCAACGTAGAGGCGAACGCGACGTCATCTACAACCATTCTAGTACGATGGGGCGATGTTCCTGTAGAACATCAAAACGGACAGATCGACGGCTTTAAAGTTTATTATGGCGCAAATTCCAGATCGTCCTTCCAATACAAGAATATTCCCAGCAACACTACTTTTACGACTACCCTAACGGAGCTCCGCAAGTTTGTGCAATACCATGTGCAAGTTTTAGCTTACACGAGACTCGGCGACGGAGCGCTGAGCATCCCACCCGTGAGAGTTCAGACTTTCGATGACAGTAAGATGGATTTTTCATTGCAGTTAAATTTTCATTATCGAAGACAATCGGGATAATTGTAACGTAGAATGTAACACTTGATTGTGTGTTTTTTGTAGTATAATTATTATATATATATATATATATAACCAAAAAACGTATTCTTCTAAGCAAAGGAATCGCAAGAAAGTAAAACTAATAAGAATGGCATTTCTATAATAATCACTATCATAATACTAATGTTTTGTTTTACATTAGCTCCCGGTCCACCATCTAACGTGTCCTTTCCTGACGTGAGCTTTACCACAGCGCGCATTATCTGGGACACGCCAGAGGATCCCAACGGAGAGATTCTCGCGTATAAAGTCATGTTTCATTTAAACAATAGCCAAGATCATCAATTTTCCAAAGAATTCCCGGCGTCGGACAGAACGTTTAGGTACAAAGAATTTTTTTTCTATTTACCAAGATTCACATTTATGGTGAGAATTTTATACTTAATCATATTACATGTATACAAAAAATATATTTTGTATAGAGACTAGCGAATTTTAGAATTTCAAAGTTAAAATTTTTTTATTTGAGATTTACGTATAGATTTTTTTGCATATTTTAGTATCATATAAATGCTATTATTTTAAAATTAAAAATATCGATTAAACGAGCGTGTATAGAAGATTTTCGAGTTTAATACCGCGATTTTATTGCTTGCTGCAGAGCCACCAGTCTCGAACCCGAGAAATATTACATGTTCTCTGTGACGGCGCAGACGAGATTGGGTTGGGGTAAGACAGCTTACGCGCTTGTATTCACTACAAACAACAGAGAACGTCCACAGGCACCATCGATGCCACAAGTGAGCAAGTCGCAGATCCAGAGTCGCCAGATAACGTTTAGCTGGACACCAGGCAGAGACGGTTTTGCACCATTAAGGTACAAATATCTTTTGCAGGCGTCAATTTTTGGGGGATGTTAAAAAAATTGCATATTGATGTCTCTTTCTTTTTATCCCGACAGATATTATACAGTGCAACAGTCGGAGAATTCCGGACCGTTCCAAACTATACCCGAAAGAGTGGAGCCGACTCTGACATCTTACACTGCTAACAATTTAAAACCTTACACGCGCTATCAATTTCGTATTCAGGCTACCAATGATATAGGCCCTTCGGAATGGAGTACCGAGTCTGCTCAAGTGCAAACTCTGCCTGCAGGTGCGTATCGAACGGCAATACAAGATATTGGCTTAGGTTGCATCGTATATTTTTTTGATAAACGAATAAAAATAACAGGCATCAAGCGTTTAATTTATTTGTGTTTACATACAAATTATTTATTTGATATATTATTCGAAAATATAAAAATCCAATAAAATTTTTGAAGAAAACGATTAAAACTCTTAATTTTGCCTTCTAAAATATTTTAGTAAATAATCCATATTATCATTTACTTATAGCACCATCCAAAGGTGTCACTGGTCTGAAAGTTGTACCGATAACAACGTCCAGCGTCGAAGTTCACTGGAATATGATCGACGAGGTGTATTGGAGTGGGGATTACGAAACGGGTGGTTATCGTGTCGTTTACCAGCCGGTATCAGATTTTCCGACACCGCTTCAGGCGACGCCAAAAGAAGAAATCCTGGGAATTAATGTAATATATTTTTATTAAATATAATGTATTATATATACAGAGAGAGGATGGTCTTAGTCTGTAAAATTTCATAATCTAAAAAATTATACTAAAAAAAACCTTAAATTCTCAAATAATTTACAGTAATGAAATAACGCGCAAAATAATTCACTTTAATTAACAGCAGATTCGCTCAAATTTTCGTTTGTTAAAATACTAGCATATCGTAATCGTGTTTTACTATCTGAGATTAATATAAAGTATAACATATATATTGATAGCATGGATTGCACATAGCGTAGCACTTTTCAGAACAGATGATCAACTTATTTCTATATTTTGTTTCAGGAAACTAAAATGGTTTTAAGCGATTTAACGGAGGATCGATATTACGAGATTATAGTGCTGCCGTTTAACTCAGAAGGTGAGGGCCCACCGAGTCCACCGGTCACTGTATATGTAGGAGAAGCAGTTCCTACAGGAGAGCCTCAAAATTTGATAGCCGAACCCATCTCCTCCACCGAGGTCCATTTACGTTGGAGGCCTCCTCAAGCCAATATGCAAAATGGCGATTTATTAGGATACAAAGTAATTATTTATTTTATATCTAGTTATATTAACAACGGATTGTGATCGCGCTGTATATTGACATATTTTTTATTTTATTATTTTGTAAATTCGTAACAATTTTTCTTTATATATTTAATAATAGATTAATTGTTGTACATTGATAGATTTTTTTCATTAATTTGTAAGTTTCCTATATAAGCGTTGATTGTAATTAACATTTCCATTTTTATTGCAGATTTTTTATTTAGTAACCGACTCTCCTCAAAATTTAGAAAAGAAACAGGAAGAAGAGATAGAGGTTGTCCTGGCGTCCTGTTTGGCGCACAGCTTAGTTTTCCTCGACAAGTATACAGAATATCGCATACAAGTCTTGGCGTTTAATCCGGCCGGAGATGGCCCACGATCTTCGCCAATTACCGTAAGGACGAAACAGGTAATTTTCTATAGATATATTAAATTATTTCTTGAATAATATCAATATTAAAAAAAAATTAAAACATTTAAGGAATGGTATTTAAATTATGTATTCTCTTTCTTTAAAACAATGGTCATTTATATAACAGCTATCTAAAACGTATCTTAAACTTTGTAGTTTTGTTCTAACATTTTATGTATTATAAATATACATTGTGTACAACATGTAAATGCAGGACATACCAGGACCGCCGTACAATTTGCAATTCACTGAAATTACCATGACCAGTTTGCGCGTCTCTTGGGAGCCGCCGAAATTACGCAATGGCGAGATAATCGGTTACATCGTCACGTATGAAACGGCGGAGCAAAACGATCGTAAGCAAATTAATATCTCGATAATATTAAATTGCGGTAGTTCGTGTAAAAATTTAATTTTACTTTTCCAATGGATCTTCTCTCGTAAATCATTAATTTTTCAATTATACCATAAGTTACCATAAGTTAGTACATTTTACATTATGTTTGTATAAATATTATTGTATATAAATGGATATATAATGCGTTATAATGTTATTTGAAGAAAATTTCATACACAAAATACAGCGATATTACGGTACATTTGTCATATCTCTATTCCCTCACTAACCGATCAATGAATTCTATTCAAGGTTTCAGCAAACAAGTAAAGCAAAAAGTGACAGAGACGAGCCTTCTCATTCAACCGTTAGAAGAGGAGGTGACGTATACTTTTATGGTTCGCGCGCAGACGATCGACTTTGGACCACCGATATCCGGTAATGTTACGACCGGTCCACAAGAGGGTTCGCCGATGGCACCTAGTAAGCTCGGCGTGACCAGGACCGTCTCCAGCGTGGAACTACAGTGGACCAACGGTGCTTCCGGCAAAGGTCCTATACTCGGTTATTACATTGAGACTCGTCGTAAAGGCAAGTATAAATTATGCTGTTACGTGTTATAATATTTGTAACAATGGAGGGGACCTGTTCAAAATTTAAATTTTACCATTTTACACTGTTGTTTATTGAAATTGCAATGTTACAAAATTATAAATAAACTGACTAATCTCTTTTATTGTAACTAATTTACAAAATGAATTTTGCAATATATCATATCCTTCTGAAAGGAAGATATAATATATTCAGAGAATTTTTATTGACGTTGCAGTTTTTTTGAAGAAACAGGGAAATATATACAATAGTAAAGTAATTTATAGAATAAATTTTTCGCGCAAAATTATTGTGTAACTTCTCGTATATTCGCGTTGAACCAATTATCAGTTCTGCTAATACTAATACCGTCTTTTTTATGAATGTGTAGCCAAAGAAGAATGGCAGCATTGTAAGTGTCAACGCACGTAATTACGCTGAGCGTCAATCATTGCATTAGATGGTTTTTGATAGCGAGATCCTTGTTAGCGTAACGATATTGCTTTTTGAACAACAATCCGTTATATATTATTATATACGTGTCGTATGGTCGTTTGGTCGTTTGCAACAATTTGCATGATAATGTCAAAGCATGACATCGCCAGAAATCCCATTTTATTAGACATTCATGCGAGATTTTATTGGATATTAACTTCGTGTAGCGCTGTAACATCGTCCTGAGAAAGAAACGATCTAGTGATAGATCGTTATTCTAGCGTGATGATGATTTATTGTATTAGCCGTTATTGATTGATAGTGTCGCAGTTTTCATTATTTAGCCCCTGCAACTAATCTCGCGTTTTTGCAAACACTTTGCGTGCAATATACTCAAGATATTTCATATAGCTAATTGTAAGATATAGATCGATACTATTGTATTTGTTGTTAAAAAATAAGCATTTTTTCCTTGGATAAAATTTCCGGAAATACATAATTTTCTTATTTTTTAATATGTAATTTTATAATATTTTTTAATACAGTGCACTTGCTATTTTTTGATTTTTTGTGTAAATAATTATTTCCTAAGAATCAAGAAACAACAAATGCAAAAAGATATGTAATAGATATATAACGCAATCAAAGTGTTAAATTAGTTTTTACCAAAATAATACAAACCTCCCCCAAATCATTTGATAAAAGGAATATATTTCATTCTTACTGCGTTATTTGTTAGTGACATTTTTTGATCAAGTTGAAATAAATTTTTTCCTAAAAAGGATATCAAGGCAATTATTTTTTCAAGTAATTAATTGAAAAAAGAATTCTCTGACAAAATTAGTTTGAAAAGAGAAAATAAAAAATAACAATTATATTTTTCAGTCAGTTTAATTAGTTTAAAATAACATATTGGAGATTTATTTAAACAGATTAACATATATTCTAAAAATGATTCTATATTCTAGAATTTGATTTACACTTATTAAATAGATATACAATGTTTCATATTTTTGTTGAGATAAAATTGAAAAAATAAATCGATCAAAAAATATCTGCTATTGAAAAATGTTGTAAAAATGAGACGTATAAAGAGACTTGTGATTATATATAATGTGATATGTATTTTCAACAAAAGAGAGAGAGAGAGAACTTTTTCTTCCTCTTTTCCTTAAGGACTTGTTAATTTAAAGATTATAACGCAATTTATGTGTGTAATTGTAGATGATTCGCGCTGGCAGACAATAATTCGTAGTAGCAATGGACCACTGACGGAATATACTGTATCCTATCAAAACTTGCTGCCATCTACATCTTACTTGTTCAGAGTGATATCATATAATCGTTATGGAATCAGTTATCCAGCGTATTCCACCGAAACGGTAAGTCTAATTAAATGGAGAAATAATTGTAAATGTAATTTCAATATTATTAAAAAAATACAATTTGCATACATCTGTCCATTTGGATATTAAGTTTATTTATTATTTGGATATTTAGTTTTGCGCATATTATATTTATTTATTTGTGAAAAAATAAAATAAAAAAAACAATACAACATAATTAACATGGTTTTTTTTTACTAATGGGATCTTGGCAGATTTTGACGCCGTCGAAATTGTACCTGGAATATGCATACCTGCAACATAGACCGTTTTACAGAGAGACTTGGTTCATGGTCACTTTAGCAGCTACATCAATTATAATTATCATTATGGTCATAGCAGTGTTGTGTGTAAAGAGTAAAAGTTACAAGTACAAACGTAAGTTGAGTTTAATATACCTGTACCAAGCGATTCTCAATTATGAAAAATTAAGAATAACTTGCATACTTATCTATTAATGTATAACTTTAGAGGAATTATATCTTGTAATATACTAATGATTACAGAAGAGGCGCAAAAGACTCTCGAGGAGTCAATGGCAATGGATGCGGAGGATAGGCAAGAATCAGATCTGGTATTGTACAGATCGCGTCAAGGTGGAGGCACCATCAACGCCGCGAGCGGCACTCTAGGTAAAAGGAACACATTGGCCCGAAAGGCTATGCACCCTCCGCCGCCGGCGATGTTGGGTAAATCGCCTCCTAGACCCTCCCCTGCATCGGTCGCCTATCACAGCGACGAGGAAAGTCTGAAGGGATACGACGAGAATCCCGATGACAGTAGCGTTACGGAGAAGCCTTCCGAAATCAGTTCCACCGATTCTCAGGTAATACTAGAAAAAGAAACGATTGTGTATTTATTTCTAAATTGTAAACGATCTAAACTGTGTCATCGCAGGGTTCTGAGAGCGAGAACGAGAGTGTGCAATCTGACCCGCATTCCTTCGTGAATCACTACGCGAACGTGAATGACTCGTTGAGGCAATCATGGAAGCGGCAAAAACCCGTCCGGAATTATTCGTCGTACACGGACTCTGAGCCAGAAGGCAGCGCGGTCGTCAGTCTGAATGGCGGTCAGATCATCATGAACAATATGGCGAGATCGAGGGCACCGCTGCCGGGTTTTTCGTCATTCGTGTAATTAAACTAAAACTCTATTGAGATAGGAAGACTTCTCTTATTAATACGGTATCAAAATTATCGTCTCACATTTCACAAGCGAAGTCTTTTTTTATATTATTAGAGCGAAAGACTTACGTCGAAAACACGTGCGTTTTATACACAACGTGCTGACGGCATAGAATTATAGCAAACTTATAATGAATTATAGAAAGCTTGAGGCATCTTCGTATTGTGATATATTGATATATACTTATTATTTATAATTTTCGATAAGATGTTTTGTGCATTTAATAGATACTTTTCTATTTTCTCGGATTAGTTTAAAAATAGCATATATACAGATCTCGTATGGACATATTGTATAATTTTCGCACCTGCGGAGCAGAGTATGAATTTAGAATTTTCTTAACGAAAATCTGCAAACATCCAGAAATTATCTATTAAATGGATAATTGCAATCAAATTCAGTTAGAATAAAACTCACAAATTGTTCATACGGGATGTATCAAAACTGATGACAACAGTTATATAATTGTGATCTTATTAAGTAATTGGTGATTATAATGAAAAACTTTACATTCGCATAGCAATCACAAAAAATCGCCACAGAAATTTGACGGGAGGATCTCTTCTTATTCGTTTTATAACTTATAAAACTCATTTAAAATTTTACAAGATTCTACACGATAAAAAGTACATCTAAACTTACAATTCCAAATAATTTTGGACTCATTCCATTCTGCTTCTCAGGTACACGATTATAGGTACACGATTATACTTATAATTTAGTTGTAAGTGAGTCTTACATTCTTCTGATATGTTTGAAGGTATTCATTGCAGATGTATGCGATTCGTGGAAGATGATTGCATTATCGCAGTGTTTTCAGAAGAAACGAAATTCATCAACCTAATGTTCCCATCGTCTGGGGCTGTCATATCATTAACCTGTTAAAAATGTTAATAGAAGGCCGCAGGTTTTGGGATATCCTGTATAAATCCGCCTTATGCTGATGTACTTGCACTACATCAGACACGTGTAAATATGTTGTATATTTTCTCCATTGCAAAAGTATAGATTTTGTATGATGCTGCTAACCAGCGGATAATATATCAACTGTATTCGCGTTTTGTGATATATAATAAAAGCTCCATATTTGCGGGATTTACATTCTGCCGCGAATACAGAAATCGCGATGATCGGAAAGTGAAGCATATAAAAACATTAAATGTAAAAAAACGCACACACACACACACACAAAAGAAAAAAAGTACATATGAGGTTTTTCATTTATATATTTTATATTGATAAAAGTTTTAATGGAATTTTAGTTCTCAAACAGACTTTAGAGTAAAAGTATTAAAAATCGTTTTTCTCTCTAAATATTATTAAGATAAGCAAATTGTTTTAAACTTGAGAATATGAAAAAGTAAGATTGCAAATATTAAATCGTAAATATACGAGATATAATATACGCAAATATGGAACTTCTACTATACATATATATATTCTCTAGCTACAATATTCACATATCTTCTTAAACATTCTCATGTTATTAACGTACATACGTCCAAAGCCGGATATCGAATTGATAATTATAACTGCATAATGTCGCATTTATTGTAACTGCGAATAATAACACCTTGGCTAAGAGACAGAACAAAGAGAAGCCTAAACTAATTAGTAATTACAAGTAAGACTATTATAGATTCATATCCGATAAAATCATTCGTTTTATACTCGCTATAATTATTTAGATAATAATTTTATTACTTTCTTAAAAAAAATTTTTACAAACGTTACGCAACGCAGCGAATCCTTTTCCATAATGTATTTCCGGAAACGCTTATAATGTTTCCGCGACACTGCCAGCGAATACATGTAGTGCAAATTTAAAATTATTTATAAACTTCCATTTGCACGCGTTTGTAACAAAGTAAGGGTATAAAAACCTTACTATAATGTCTAATCATATAGGACATTTTTAGAGACTTGTTAATCTTTTTAATAAAAATTTATGCCGTTTTGGAAGAACTCAACAATGACCAACCAATTTATTATTACACATACACATACTCTACAATTATTATACACAAATAGTTATACAAATCGATATATTTTAACAAGTTTTTATATATAATTTTGTATTATTTAGTAATTCTTTATTTCTTTTAAATTAATTTTTTGAATATATATTGCCAAGCAATACAAAATTCCTGTTAGATGGATATATTTGAATATAAATTAAGATTTGTTTATTTTTATGCAAAAAGTAATTTATTCAAGATTGTTTCTTATGTATCAAAAAATGCATTTATATTGTTTTATCTCGCTCATTTATTAAGTGTATTATCTGTACATTCACATGCATAAGTTTTATCCATGAAAGTCTTTTCGCAAGATTTGTACCATGGTTTAAACTCAGGTGGTATTTCCTCTGTAGGAAACCGTTTAAGCAAAGACCATAGTGCGATCTCCGCGATGTTATGTTCAGGTGTTTTGTACCATTCCCGAAAATAACGGGTTACGTCATAAAACTTCACATCTTTGTACGTACCTCCCGTCTTAAGGTGTTCGTAAGTTTTATAACACCAATCGAGTGCCATGTCCAAGAGATGTGGCTTCGACTCTTTTTTCTCATAGTTGCGCGTATCTATTTGCCTGCTCAAATATCTGAGGAAATTGCTTTCACCTCTTATGGCATATCCCTCCACGCCTGTAACAACTTCCAAGTCCTTAGCTGGAAAAGAAAGAAAAACAAAAACACTCAATAATAATAAAAAATATTCAAATAAATAAATTCTATTAACTGGTGTTTAGATAATGAGAAAGTGATTAAAAATTCGTTTACACAAAGGAAAATTCGATTTTCCTGAAATTTTAATACATCTTGAATTATTCGATAATAAATAAATTATTCATTATTATTGTAGAAGACATATTTTTCTTAAGATTAAAAAAAAAATCAATTTGGTCTTACTTTCTTTCCATATCAATGACAAATGTACAATGGTTTTTGCAGCAGAATTATTAATTTTTCGGAAGGGAACCATAAGTTGTATTGGCATGATAGAAGAATGTTTATATGATGTCACCCTAATATCAACATCAGTCCAAATTTTCTGCAAAGCAAGTATTGAATATGGTACATAATTTGGATCTGCATGCACCACCACTTTAATGTTGATTGGTTCCTGCAAATTATGATGAAAATTATCTAATAATTGTTTATTTTAAATTGATATTGTTACATGCAATAACATATTTAAAAATTCAATTTTGGCATAGAAGATGTAACCAACATGTAATGTGCCAACATATTAATCAAGAATTTTTTCAAAAGATGCACAGTTCTTGTACCTGAGATGGTACACAATCTGTTGTAGCTTCTACTCCATTATTTTCATTCAATTTAGGTGCTTTATTTGATTGTTTCAAAAATTGGGACAACGTACAGACTTGTTTCTTGAGATCTTCCAGTTGAGTAAGAACTTTGATTTGTCGAGTCTCCAGATCTTGGTATTCTGGTATAGGTAACTATAAAGAACAGTATGAATTATAAAATATATGTTCTTTATATAACATTAATATGAAATATCTAATTATATAGATTTTATAAATCTGACATTTATTCTACAATATAGCCAAATTATGTATATAAATATATTAAGAAAACTATGTACTCTATATCATAATTAGATTAATACTAGATAGAAATGTGCTATTATCGTATGATAAGTATATATCAACAGTAAATCTAACTTTACATCTGTGCTGGATTTATATTTGATATTCATTGCACGATACTTGTCTCCAATATAAACAGAGAAATCACTGAACTTTGAGATATATTGTATAATAAGAAAATATTAATGAGAAAAGTATAAACTTAGTTTTATAGCGAGATAAGAAATATTTGTATTTTCCAGGCTTACATCTGATCTCTACAATATTTGCATCTAATGAATAATCAAAATCAAATACAATTTCAAATAAAATAATTTTACTATTTCTCCATTACCAGCCTAGATATAGGCCTAGATATAATAGAAATATGCTATGCATTAATGTAAATATAATATTAATATACAAATCAACCAGAGTTCAAATAAGCAAAAAAGCATAAGACTTTAATATAGAGTAAATTTCATCCGATACAATATTGTACTAATACAATATTACTAAGCACACCAAGAACATTCAACACAAATTTATCTCTGCAGTCAAATACTTGGATTATTAAATGTAAAATTGCAGTGAACATAAATTCTAACAATATTTTGTATATGCATACATTCAGCCAAGTTCGATATTAATAATTTATCGATTGTAATAACATAATAAGATTAGAACACCTCGACGAATTAATCCTCCCCCCCTCCTTGTTTCTAACGGCAACTCAGAATTTTGCTCGGAACTTTTTCGCTTTTGACAGTCGCAGTCAACGAACGGAGTCGCGCGTCTCTCTTTCGCGCGTGAGTCAAGTAGTTCCCCGCCCCACGAGATCCGCACGTCTCGTTCTCACAACTTTTGATCGGCGGTGCCTTTTCTCCAATTTTCGTATTCGTTCGCGCGAGAGATACCCGAGGAAAAAAAGATCACAGGGAGGGACAGGAGGAACATCGATCAAGCCCCAGGACAGAAACAGAAAAAGAGACAGAGAGAGAGAGAGAGAGACAGAGAGGAACCGCAGCACGTCGCTCCTCCGCTCCGCTCCTGGTCGATCGCGGATCAGTGTGCTCGCGGAAATTTTCGGGAGGAGTCATCATGTCGCGCGCTCGTCCGCACTGCCTTTACCGGCTGCGATTTTCCGCGCGTGTCCGCGTGCCCAGGACGCGAGCGAGCGCGCGCGGACGAGAGGGTGTCGCGGTCACGGTGTCGCGCGACGTAGGAACGAAACTGAAACCTTCAGAATACGGATAATCTCCTCCGGGATGTCGAGTTCCGTGGCGGGCATCTTGGTATCGAGGGTTTCTATGAGACGACGTTGGTGCTCGTCTATAGGCAAGAACTTCACCTCGTGGATATTTTGCATTTTGTACATGACCTCCTGCGGCGATATCGGCGGTAGCGTCGTTAACGGTCGCATCGGGTATACGACTTTCCCGAGGTCGGAACTCATCTCTCGATCGAGAACGATTTTCTCCCACGCACTCGGAAAATGGAAAGATAAGGAAAGATCTTGCTCCTCGTTCACCACGATCTCTCGTTCACTCTCCCCCTTCCTCCCGCTCCGCACTTGCGCACTCACCGCAATGACGCGAACCACGTTTTCCTCGCGCGCGCGGCATCACATATGGCCGATGACGTAACGCGGTTACACCGCGCGCCGCTAGATGGCGCTCGGGCGCCACCGATTTTGTCGGTAAGATTAATTTTGATTTTGTCGTTCAAAATTGAATAATAATCTCTTTTGAGGTTAAGATCGCGAGGATTTCTCGTTCTGTATATAACGGGAGAGCATAGTATCTTAAATTCTTCTAGTTTTCTCTCTTTTTTTTTATTTGATTTATCGAACTGATCGAACGCGTGCCCTGCGAGATCTCGAGGACAAAGGGCACGAGGAGCTTTCAAAATTTATTTAAACGATTACAAGAGGTAAAAGAAAAGAAATCCTCATTCACGTGATTCGTTATTATCAAGGTTATTGTGCACCGCGGAAAGTGTAAACTTTACGCGCAATAATAATCTTGTAACGTTATCGATCGAGAGGAGTTAAAATGGCGGCCGGATCGGTGGTGTCCTCTAGCACGTATCGAGATCAGACTCGTGTCTATGGCTCGCGGGTAACGGCCGGGTTCGCATACACGAAGGAGAGACAGAAGGGCCCGAGGAAAGCCGAGAGTGAGACGAAAGTGTCACACGTTAGCTCGCTGGCACTAAATCGAAGCGCGATATCGAACGATTCTCCCCTCGAGTCACGTCCCGAGTGCGATCTCCGCGATACTCGAACGTTTTTATAAAATTTGCGGTTAGAATTGCGTTTTTCTCTTTTTATTTCGAATGCGCGCGTGTCGCCACCTATCGCGCAACGTCGATCCGACAGCAGGGACGACGGCAGGAAGTTACGGTGAAGGCGATTGGAGCACGCGAGCGTCTCGGTTGAATCGAACGATCGCGCCTTGTTCGGCGACGCGCGTCACTTTACCGGGTCCGTGCTCGTCGCGAACGATCGTCCGGTCGACGCAATTCTGACAGACGCATCACGACGTCCGTTCGATCGCCCTTTTACGTTGTACCTGTCTCCCGTGCGGCCGACATGGCGGCGCACCGATGAGCCAATCACAGCGCCGCTCTCATCGCCATTGAACGACGGTTCCGTCCGCCGCTGGCGCAGCTAGAGACCTCTTCTTCTGGCGTAGTTCGCGTCACTCACCGATCTCGCTATCGAATCTTGACGAGTGTTTTTTTCGCTAATCGAAGTATACGCGGTGCGTCGAGCGTGAAAGGGTAGAGACGGTGAATATCGCGACGCGGGCATCCGTTCGAGTCGCGCCGCGGCGATTGTGTTTGGTCACGTGACCGCGCGGAACCGACCGTGGGCCGTGAGAAATGGCGCAAAGATCAGAGTGGATCGGACATCATGGATGGATCCAGTTCGTTGCCGCGGCGATGTCACTTGTGTTTGTTTACAAGCGTGCGAGCACGCGCGCCACGTGCTGAGTGAGGAGGCGAGGCGAGACGTGGAGAGGTGAGGAGAGACGAAAAGATAGGTGAAGGAAGGCAGACGGGGCAGACAGGCGGGCAGGCAGGCCCTAACAGCGATCCCCCCCTCATTTATATAGGCCCCCTCGTGTTCCGAAACAAGATTGACAGCGCCGGTGCCGGTATTAACGACAGCGATCCAAGGATCGACGAGGACCACGGCGACGAACAGCAATAATGACAGGCAGGGGCTCGAAGAGGCGGGGGCGTCCGCCCAAGTCTGTGGTGATGGAGCGACCGAAGAAGTTCCAATATCACCTGATGAAGAAGCCCAAATACTTGCAAAACAGGACGACGACGGGGACGCCCGGTGGTGGCGCCGAGACACCGGGTTCGCAGCCGAGCACGCCGACGGCGTCGCGGCCGACGTCGCCGTCGGTCGAGAGCGAGGAGAACAGTAAGCGCAACACGAGGAATCAACGTAAGCCACGAGGTCCGCGCGACAGGCACTCTCGCAAGGGCGGCCACTCCGGATCTGCAGGTGGTTCCTATCAGCGTCGCGGTTATAATCCCAACGTGGATTATCACGATTCCGAGTACCACTACGGTTCGGATTTCGGTGACGAGTCCAGCGACAAGAGCGAACCCGAGGAAGATCCACTGCCGAGCGACGTAGAATCCTCCGAGAGTATAGAGGAGCCCGATCCTTCTAGCGACAGTGACTTTTCTTTATCCAGTTACAGCACTACCAGTGGCACACCCAGAAAGACGCTGCTCAGTCAGCAGCGACCGCCCAGTCCCGATCCACTGTGGCTGCAGAACAGAGAACTGCCGCCCTTGGTATTACCAAAGACCTCGGACGATCTGCTGCTTTCTAAAGAACTGGTCATGCCGTCGTTGTCCGTCTACGAAGTGCTTAGGCACTTTCGTACCTTGGTGCGTTTGTCCTCCTTTAGATTTGAGGACTTTTGCGCCGCTCTTGTTTGCGAGGATCAGACTAACTTGCTGGCAGAGATTCACATCATGCTAATTAAGGCGTTACTGCGTGAGGAGGACTCACAGCAGACGCATTTTGGTCCACTGGACCAGAAGGATTCAGTGAACGTTAGCCTGTATTTTGTGGATTCTATGACATGGCCAGAAGCGCTACGTTCGTATGTAGAAAGCGACAAGAGTTTTGATCAGAATATTTTACAGATATTAACCACAACTGAATATCCTTTTACTGCCATCGAGAATAGAATCAAGGTCCTACAGTTTTTAACAGATCAATTTTTAATCACTAATCCTGTGAGGGAAGATTTGTTACATGAAGGTAAAGTGGAATGCCATTCTGTATGTAATTTATTGTTTTATCTGTAACTCCTCTAGAGGCACAATTATATTCAAAGTCAGCAGGGAGAAAATATGCCATGTCCATGCTGATGCATTAGTTGTTACGCTTGTTGTATAACATAATAATACTTTTTAGTCAAGATTAAATTAACTTAAGCGTAAACTTAATGGTTCTTTCTACTTTTCATATTCAAAATATATTTAATAAGTACAATTTTGTTTTATATATTAATCTGATGTATATGTATATATATGTGTGTATATATATATATATATATATACTATATCTGATAGAAATTTTTTTTCTTTTTATGTAAAGTATTTGTATATATTTTTATAAATATTTTATAGATATGTTTTATATACAAATTTATAAATTATTTACAAATATATTATTTATTTTTTCATTCTTATAAAGAATTTTATAATTAAGAAAATTGAAATTTTACCGAGAAGCACAAAAAAAATGGACAATATCTATGTTTTTCAGGGAGTATGCATTACGATGATCACTGCAGAGTATGCCATCGACTGGGAGATTTGTTGTGTTGTGAGACTTGTCCTGCTGTGTTTCACTTGGAATGCGTGGAGCCGCCGTTGGTCGATGTTCCTGCCGATGATTGGCAGTGTAGCACATGTAAAGCGAACAAAGTGATGGGTGTTGTGGATTGTATTCCCGATGTCGAGAAGAACGGATCATTGTGTAGACAGGAGCATTTAGGATTCGACAGACACGGCAGAAAATATTGGTTCCTCGCGAGAAGAGTTTTTGTGTAAGACATGTTTCAATGTTATAAATCAAATTTAAATTGTGTGATAAAGATTATGTAAAATAATTATTTATTACTCATTGTATTACATATATAAAGATATAGGCAGAGATTTTTTATATTCAAACAGTTTATAACTTCTTCCATTTTATATACATTATTTATAATTGATTTTATGTACATATAAATTATATATTTTTTTTATGGGAATTCTAATAAAAAATTATAAATCTTTAGAGGGTGTGTGTGTGTGTGTGCGTGTGTGCGTGCGCGCGCGTGTGTGCGTGCGCGCGCGTGTGTGTGTGTGTGTGTGTGTGTAAGATAGCAAAAAGTTTTATAAAGTTTGTGAATATATATACATGTACATATAAAGAATTTTTTATTATTACTTATTGCGATTTTATTTTTTAGCGAGAGCGAAGACGGCGAGGTGTGGTATTATAGTACGCCATTACAGCTGGAGGAGTTGATGCTCGTGTTAGATCAGAACGAAATGGAAGTGGCGCTTTGTCGCGAGTTGTCAGATTACAAGGATGAGATAGTTCGTCAAATGGAACTCACGGAAACTATTACTAATCAATTCAAAGGAAACAAGAAATCGTACCTAGAAATAGAAAACAGTAAGAACAATCTCTCCAATTAACGTCATCTTTCAAATTTTTTTTGTCAAAATCGAACACTAAGAATAATAATTTATAGTGGCTTTTTTTATGGCATAATTAATCAATATTGAATATTATATATATAATATAGAGGTCTTATACAAAAGATACAAAAAGAACGACAAGAAAAACAGGAGAAAGAGGAGGAGGAGAAAAAGGAGAAACAAAGGCAAGAGGCAGAGGAAATGATACGCAGGATGCACGAAGGTACTGACTCTCTCGAGGAGCGTATGGCAATTGTGACGGATCAAAGTGAGGCCAAGGTATCCAGTGCGGAGTCAGTTACCCAAGTACCTAAAGTGGTCGGCGAAACTGTCGAAGTCGATGCCGACGCATCATCATCTGCGAATACGGACAAAATTACTGCGAAAACTAGCACCTCTACGTCATCGTCCGAGGATATAGATGAAGAGGTCTTGGAGGGAGAAGAGAAGATTGGGAAAGACGGTAAAGTTTACTGTAGAACTACAAAATAGTGTTGTCAATATATGTATGCGTTAAAAGTGTGCTCTGCTATTTTTATGCTACGCTATTTTATATGCATATTTATAACAATAATCTTTCTTTTCAGGCAAGAAGCACACCATCGTAACGAGATCAAAAACCGGATCGTTGCAGCCACGAACCTTTAACATGGATGATTTGAAGAGACGAAGTATGGCACCGTTGTCGAAGGAGGAACTAGAGAAGCTGGATAAGAGTTTGAAAGACTCCGAGGGCGACGGTACTAGATTAACGCGTCAGAAAGCACATCAAATCGCGTCCGGCACTCATTTATTCAAACTAGGAATGGACAACAATTTTAAGTCGTACGTCAATCAGTACAGCAACAACCCTACCGCGTTGAATAAAATGCAGAGGAACGAGGAACGTGACAAGAAACGTCACTTGTCGCACAAATTCTCGCTCACCCAGGTCTCGGAATTTAAATGGGTGGGCAGCCTGACGGGCACTCGTGCCCTCTTGGTCAGCACCTTACGTCAGACAATCTTGCAGCTTGAGAGCAATATTCAGGCGCCGTTCATGCATACAAATTGGCCGTTACTACGTAAACCGTGGACTGCGGCAGTAGGCGCGTGCGTGAATCCGCGTGACTTTGCACGTACTCTCATCGTCCTGCAGGCGTGCATCAAGTCCGTTGTATTTGCGAGTGTATGGCATGATCAACTTGGTCATGTGAAACTGCAACGAGTGACCGCACTTGAGCGCGAAGAGAGGAAGCGACAGGACAAGAAGGAGAAAAAAGAGAAGGAAGATGAGGAGGAGCGTAATCGGCTCTTTAACTTTGTCAAGTACACTCTTGGCATGAAACATCAAGTGTGGAAACAGAAAGGCGAGGAGTACCGGCTGCATGGCCAGGGCGGCTGGCTGTGGGTATCAGCCAGTCGTCGTTATAGATTTTCGGAGATGACAAAGTTGGGCCTACGGGCCGGTCCACAGAAAATCATGGTGCAAATCAGAGATCAAGGCGGTTTAAAGATTCTCGCGGTTGATCCGCCTACCTATGAATTTCTCATTAAGGAGTACTGTCCGAGCAAAACGGAGAACGGCATCACGGTGAAGCAAGAAATCAAGGAGGAAGATGTAGGAAATGATGCAATCAAACAGGAGTACAATCCGGAAGGTGTAAAAAAGGAACCTACGACGAATGGTATTGATTCCTCTTTAGCAAAGTCGGAATCCCAATCGATCAAACAAGAAACGAAGATGAATCTATCATGTACGTATAGCGAATTTAGTAGAAGATTTAAATTTTAAATTGAGAATTTAATAAAAGGAAGTTTTTTTTGGAGAGAACACAAATAATTGTAATATAAATAATAAATGATACATAAATAATGCTATAAATATATTATAAATATATAAATAATAATAATTATTATTATTATTTATATATTTTTTACAAATAAAAAAAAACTACAAAGTATATATATATAGAGAGATACACACACATACATACATACATATACTTTGAAGTTTTATTTTATTTGTAAAAAATACTAATGATAGAAAATCTTACAGTTTTAGCTGGCATGAAAATCGAAAAGGTTTTTACCCCAATTACTGAATTTGATGAGGTTGACATCACTAAAGCGCTAACCAGTCCTGGAAGATTGCTTTATCCAAAAATTGCAAAAAAGACGAGGATCGACGATTTCTTGGCACGTAGAACACATTTAAAACTTTTGGAAGAAAGGAGATTGCTGCAATCTGTAAGTATATGTTGTTTATTGATTAATATGCGATCTATTATTTTTATCATTCATTGTTTAACAATTATTGTATTTTAAGATAATCAGTATTATTTTACTAGTAGTAAAAATATCGATATTATAAATTCTATTTTATTATCTTTACAGCTTGTAAATATCGAAATGTTTTGCAGGAAAAAACGAAAGAAGCAAGCAAGACGGCAAATCAGAAGAGCGGAGGTGGCGGAGATTCTTTGGAAGTCGATATGGAAAATCACGAAGAGAGTGATATGGATGGCACTAGCGTTGTTAGCGGTGGTGGAGATGGTTCTCTCTTACCATCGTCCGTCGGTAAACAGCAGCAAGCAGGCAAAACAGCAACAGCAGTTGTTTCTGCATCCACAAAGGAAATGCTAACGGCAATCAGCAAGCGTATCCAGCAGATACGCGCGCAATACGCGAACACCATTAAGCTTTGCAAGAATGTCGGCTGTTACTCGCGCTACTGCAACATGAACAATGGCGGCAAGAAGAATGCTGTGCAAGTTAATACCGCTCAAGTCATCGCCGTGCATATCTCTGATACCTGTTATTCACCTCTATGCATGCAAAGGACGCGTTTGAAGCGCGAGCTAATCGCACTGGCGCGCAAAGCAAACGCGCTCAACAACAATCAACAGTCATCTCCTTCCTCGTCCTCATCGCAAATCATCAGTGTAAAAACAGAAACTCCGGACGAGACGAAGGATGCGATCAGACGGGATTTGGAATCGGCAGTGGCATCAGCGACTCACTGCAACGAGGAATCTGCGACGAAGGATGCCGTTTCACCTTCATTACCTTTAAAGAAGATCAAAATTGAGAACGACAAAGGGGAGACGACCGTCACGACGAGCAACGTCGTTACAACCACCACGACGATAACGACGACTCGACAAACAGTAACGAAGAGTTTGGATGGTGCGATGCAGGAACATTCTACCGTGAATCGTAATTCCACGATTGTCTCGTCGGAAGTTACGACCACAACGACGGATAAAAGTGGTACGAAAACGGTGATGATTGTGAACCGTAGAGGAAGGACAGTGCAGCGAAGTGCGATTACTAAGGAACTGCATGCCGATGGCAGCGAGCGAATTTACACGACGACGTCGACGAAGGGCAAAGTATACTTGAAGAAGGTGTCCATTTCGTTGGCCGATCGTAGGAAAAAACGTACCCCAGTCAAGTATCCGCTCTGTTCGACCTTTTGCACGAGAAATAAGCATCGCAGTATATTAGTGCTTCCTCAACACGAGCTGAGGAAAATGTCTCGCGTTGGCGGTAAAACGCCCGTATTAGGATTTCATCATCAAGCCAAGGCGAATATGTCGGTGTGGCCGTACCCATGTCCCAGACCTTTGTTCAAGACTTGCTGGTTATACAGAACAGTTGGTCTAAGATCGCTAGCTGCTGCCGCGATTCAATTGAGAATACTCTGGGCTTGTCTCAGGTGGGACGACATGGCGGCTAAGCCGTTGTCTACTGACGGCAAAAATCAGATTACTACTGATACGGAGATCATGTCGCTAGAAATATTGAAGCATCGGCATGTCGGACAGTTCCTCGACAGAACGCAGTATCTACGCAGGAAGGTCGTAATACCGCTCGAGCTTCCGAAGCAAGTTAGAGGTTTGTATGAGATAATTTACTGAATAAATACGTAAAAAGTTTACATTAATTGATCGATATTTGATTAAAATTATAAATGATAAAATGTAGTCTTTTAAATTCGTCTTCTGTGTCGCATTTAATGTTATATATTCATTTTTTTTACAGAGGTCACGTCTATAAGAAGTGGTCTGAGGAAACGAAAGCGTCCGGAATCTCCGCAGAGCACCGAACCACAAGTCACCGAGGAATGGGTTGACGAGGATAAGTTGGAGTTATGGGAGATCAAACAGTACGGCGACAGGTATATAGCGATTAATATATGCTGCGCGTATCTAATGATAAAATATTTGCATGTTATTTCGCATCGCAGACGTTTGTGAAATTCTCTTTCTGAAATGTTCTTATTATGCGGTTGCTATGACATTGACCGATTTTATCGAGCCTACTTAAATTCTAGTTCAACGAATATTAAACGATAATGATTATGTTATTAATAAATTTAGAAATAAAATAATCTTATAAGAATAAAAAATGAAAAGGAATAGGAACAAAATCTAGCCTTGTTAGTAGGACTATTAATAGAAATAATTTTGTTATAATAACCAGAGTTTGTAATTACAGTAAAAAAATATTTGCTTTATTAAATTTTGGACATTATAGAAATTTTTATTAATACTCTTTTATTAAATAAAAGAGATAAAAATAAGAGAAGTTAAGTGATATATAAACTTGTACGTATAAATTTTTCCATTTTTCTCTCTCTATAACACAATATCATCTTCTAAATACTTTTCTAATTTTATTACAAATTTACAAAAGTTGGAAACTTAAAAATTTTACTTCCGTTATGGATAACGGATTCGTGTGAAACGCATCTTTATTTTGCTTTTGAATTCGCCGACGATGATGCCGTTTCATTTTAAATGTGGACCGCTCTGATCGCTTTAACCCTTCGCTTGCTTTCTTTCTTTCACCGGGAACTAACACTCGGCTTGGTGTGTCTGTCCTGTCTCCAGGTTAGAGAAGGCTAATGCCCAGATTATTACTAGGAGTCGTTCGGGAGCGCCACAATCAGTGGTCGTCAGCGGTGGTAATAGAACCGCCGTTGCCGCCGCCACCGGTGGCACGACCGGACTCTCCGGCGATCAGCTCGTGAGCGGCAAAGCGACGCCGGAAGAGATCAAGGAGAAGATGGAGCAACAGTTGCGTATACAACGAGCGGCTCATCAACAAAAGCGTGCCCTAGAGACCCTTAAGAATCAACCGGCGAACTCGACATCACCCGTTACTCAGCTCGTCAAAGTCACAGCTAATTCTTCTCACGGTAAATCGATTACAGAAGATGTAATATTGTACATACTGAATCGATATAGGATAATACAAATAGATTTGTGGATAACAATTATATTTTTAATCTTGTTCATTAATCTTAATTGTTAAACTTAATTTTTTGTAAAATAAATTACTTGAAGTAAAATATAGCACTGAAATGAATTTTATGTTTTTAGACGGCACAGTTAAATTAGTCTCGAAAGTCGCGATTCCGGCGAATCCGAACAGCACAAAGTCGCAATTGACTTCTCTTTTGGCGACTCCTACGCAGAACAAAACTTTTATCGGTACACGGCGAATCTACATGACGAAATGTAAGTTATTTACTCTCATTTTCGAGCATGTTATATGACAAGGCTATGTGAACTGGTCTATTGCCTTGTTTCAGCAGCTGATGGAACCACTAAGGTAGTGTCCGGTCCTACTAGTATTTTACCAAAAACACCGCAAGCTCAGTCATTGAACCAGTCATCCTTAATTAAAATAACGCAAACAGGTAAGTTTATTATTCAATGCAATATGCATATATGTAATAATGAAAAACTTTTCCATTTTTAATCTATCCCTGATCGTATAATCTAATGTATCCCTCAAATCCTATTTTTCTAGGTACCACCAATTCGCCTGTACAAGTGCAACAGAAAGTGCAAATTCTTAGAGGGCCAGATGGAAAGTTACAAGTGCGTGGTTTGTTGCCTGGTCAGCAGTTGATCCAGATGCCTGATGGGAAATTACATGTACTGAATGTGAGCCAAACAGTGGGCACTCCTTCTTCACAATCAAACTCGACAACACCTACAAGCACTCCGCAGGTAATTCATTTGAAAAAATATATCTGTATTTGACGTTCTGTCTATTTTATAGAATAGAAAATTGGAAAAGTGAGATATGTAATTATGTGTAAGTACACATAATTTAATTAAATGCGATATAATAGAAACCAGTACCGACTAATGTATATATAATGGAAATTATAAGCAACGTTATACATTTCAGACAAAGACTGCGACTGTAGTTAGTTCTACCAAGATGGCAATTTCCGAAACTTCTGCGACTAAAACCAGTCCGAGTACAAAAACAACAGCGAATTCAACGACACAACAAGCACAACAATCGCCGCAGCAAGTCGTACAGACTGTCCAACGCGTGAAATCCGCGACTTTGGCTCCCGCCACACCGACGAAGAATGCCATTGTAGTTGCCAATACAGGACAGACTGCACAGGTAATAACCCTTCTGGTTGACTTGATGAATTAAAAATTTGTTTTCATATGTATGATCTTTTACCGAAAAAAAATTAGTGAGGAAAATAAATTCAATATCAATAAATTAAAATCAAATATATATATAGACAAGTGATAAGTGGCAATCAAATAGTGGTTACGAACGCAAACTTTGCCCAACAATTGGTGGCGACAGGTAAAGCACAATTGACAACAATTGGGGGCCATCAAGTGGTAATACGTAGCACACCTACTGGAAATCAAATTGTACATCTGAATTCGACAAACAGTGGTATAATCGTGAAAAGTACCGTCCCTGCCAATAAGCAACAGCAAGGTTAGTAATTTTAGATTTTTTTTCGCTCTCTAGATTAAGGGACATTTTAAGCAAATTAATTAATCAACTGAGACAGAACTGTTTATAAAAAAATTTCCAATTCGGAATTGGTCGAAGCAGTTTTAATACACATTAATCTATAGATTATTTATTTTATTGAACACACATATATTTCTCAGAGAATTATAATGATATTACTTTTGTAATACTATATTAATCTAAATAGTAAATATATATTGACGAAACAAATTTATATTTTTTTAGTTACACAGCCTTCGATAGTTACGGCACAGTCCGTTGCTAGTACAAATGCGAGCGCAACGACCACTACCGCGACTTCTACTGCATCGGTGACGACCACTCAGAGCTCCGTCACGGCTCCAGCTCCGGGAAGTATCGAGGCTTCCTTGCTGGCGGGACAACCGCCCGGCACGGTGATTAAATGTGTGACGGCCCAGGTGATCCAGACAACCGACGGCCCGCGTATCGTACTACAGGGTCTACAGAGCGCGGATTTCACACCGCAACAATTAAATATGGTGCAGCAGCAAGTGAAGCAACAGCTTCTCAAAGGTTAGCATTTAAAGATAAAAAAATCGCAATCCATTGACGAATTTCCACCACAGATATCGAATTAAGAATTTTGTCACTTTCAGCGCAAGCAACAACCGGCAAACAAGGTGTATTAGGACCTACGAAGATTTACTTGGCCGTTCAACCGGTTCAAGCTCCCAACAACCAGCAGCAGCAACAGCAGACTTCGCAGGTTTCGTCGACGGCAAGTACCCCCGTGGCGTCGACTCCGAAACAGCAACAACCTATAGTTTCTCCACCGCCTGCCACTGGTATACAATATTCTTTAATATCTTATTATTATCTAAACGAGATATACAACGACAAATGTATACATGTACTATATGTGTGCATATGTGCGTTGATATTTATATAATACTAATAAATATTTAGCAATAAAAAGATATTTTTAGAAGGATATATACAATAAATCTGATAAAATAATTATTAATATTTTGCGGTATACATCTTTTTTAATAGAGCCGCAAGGGGCCATCGAAACCATTCCAGAATTTCCACAAGCGGTAACGCCAAAATCGACGGATAAACCGAAAGTGGTTGTTCAACAAGTAGGACGCGTGGCGAATGCAACGGAAGACGATGCGCAAAAGGCGAACATAGCCAATGGGCAGCAACCTTCATCGCAGTCTTTGAAAGAAGGAAGTGAATCGTCAAATAAATTTATACTGACGCCAGACTACATCCAACAAAGTTAGTATATAAAAAATTAAAGGAAGTGTAAAAAATATACAAGACATATACAAAAGTATGTTTTGCAATATCTTTAGTCGAATAAAGTTTTCGTACAAATGTTTTTTTAAAATTCTAATATTTTTGTATCTTATATACAAAATATATCCTTGAAAATATTACTTATATAAAAAGATCTTAAAAATGTTTCTTAATAATATATATTTGTTATGTAAAAAAAAAATTTCAGAAATATGTGAGATATAAAAATTTTTTTATGAATATTACGTAACAATCTTTCATTTTTGTATATTTTTTCTTATGAAAAAGATTCTTGCAAATTTTCCTTATATGAGCAACATTTACTATATGTATCTATATGTATTTATACATTTACATACTTTTCCCTGATTGTAGCAATTAAAAATGCCTTGAAACAAGAAAACCTCAATCCGGAGATAGAAGAAAAATTGTTGCAATTGCAACGTTATCAAGAGAAGCAGATGAAGGGCGGTGTGGAGAACTCTGTGACAAGCAACCAGACTCATCACAATTCGCCCGCAGTAACGACGCCGCGTCCGCCATCGCGCAAACGGCCGGCACCTTCGTCGAACATTCCAACGACGGCGACGACAACGACGACGCCGACGATCATTCAATCATCGCCTAGCGTCGGCGATGACAAAGACGACAAAGATTGGGTAGAGACACCCAGAAAGAGACCGGCGCTGAAACAGGAAAATCGCGATACGACCCCAAAGTAAGCCTACCATATAATCATAGGTGGCATGGAATGTTAATGCATTGTATAATATAATATTGTAGTGCAACTTCGTGTTGACATATTTAATATTCCTCTCTTATATGAATATATATTAAGAAGTTAATCATCAATTAGATTTAACTTTAGTAGAAACAGGTGTCAGACAAAAAAAATTTTTTTCGAAGATTTATTGTGTGTGTATATATATATAAATGTCCAAGGTTTATATATATAAAATACATATACCCATAATTTCAAATACTCATCATTACTCATTATTGCTGTTATATTATTTGATCACGTTATATTATTCTGTTTTCTTTCTTTATCTCTCTCTTCTTGTTTTTTACCATTTCTCAAATAAGCGAAGTTGTACTATTACGTTATACTATGTTATTATATAATTTTATTGTTTTGTTTGGGTCTAATCGTTTTGCTTTTCCTAATATTTGTAAATTTTATAATTTTTTTATTTTATTTTTGTAAATTTATAACTTTTGTAATATTTGTATACGTGCATATATGTATGTGTGTGTATGTGCTTACGATATTGAAATGCGAAAATAAAACTTTATCATGCTCTTTATATTTTTAAAAACATTAGATATATTTGAATTAAAAAAATAAGGAACTTTTTTATCACAAATGTGTTTCTTTTTTCAAATGTCTGTTTATTTGAAAGTATTACATCTTTAAATACAATCTAATTTTAATTCAATGTTTTTTGCACACACATAGACACATACACTCGTACAAATAAACAATATCATAGGGATTGTGTGAAACATGTAAATATGTCATGTTATGTATGTAAAATTTTTTTATTAAAAGAAAGAACATTTACTAATATCATAACATGTGTGTAAAAAGAATATTGAACTCAAATTTGATTGTATTTAGAAATACTTTTGTGAAATATACAAAGATATAGACATTCGTGATAAAAAAATTTCTTATCTTTTTAATTAAATATATTCAATGTTTGTAAAAAGATAGAGAACATGATAAAGCTTTATTTTCGTATTTAGTCCCGTCTCATTGATGTCTGAATTGGATTTAGTAAATTCAATCTGAATCACATGTGCATATGTGGCAAAATTATAAAATATAATGATATTCCTTAATCATTTTCCCTCTACTTTTATATTGAATTTGGAGATTATTTTTTTCATTCATTCTTCGTCTTTTTTTTAGTATATATAAAAATTTCAAAGAAAATTATTATTATCTTATTTCATATTTTTGTTATATATCTTCGTAATTTTTTATTTTTCTTCTTTCTTTTGCATCATCTTTATTTTCAGTATCTCTCTTGCTAACTCAGTATCTTGTTAATCTTCCCTTCTGTCTCTTTCTCTCTCATCCTCAAATTTTTTCTCATTTTTCCCACGTTTCCTTATCTTCAAAATTCAAGAACTGAGATGGCGCACAAACGTGACTTTTTCTTATTAAATAAGTCTTCTATAAATTGTCTAGTTATGAAATAATTCAATAAAAAAATTACAGGTACACACACATATTTTTCTTAAATTCAATCTGATTTTGTATCATTCTATTTTCTTCGAAGAAAGACTTTAAATATTTTGAAAAATTATACGATCTCCATAAATAAATCTTCTGATGAGGACGGGTATTATTTTTAACAATATACGATCAAATTTTTTATCCTGTATATGTATGAAGATAATAAATGTGCTTTTTTTTAATTAGTTTGCAAAATTTTAAGGCAAAACCGTACACCCCCCTGTATATGTTATGTTTAAAAAAAATATGTGAGATAAATGTCACCTATTCTTGGTAACAAAATGAGAAATTTATATTGCAAATAAATTGTCTCAAAATGATGCATTTAAACTTTAAACTGTGTCATATATATTTATAAATGATTACTTGCAGAGTGTCGAAGCTATCGGAGGCATTAGATAATGAGTCATCCCCTAAAAACCGATCTGCAAAATTGAAAGATACACAAGAGCGAAGAAAACAACAGATGCATTCTCGAATGCAGGTTTTATTGTTTCGGCATAAAGAACTTCTTAAGAAAGATATTCTTAAGAAGAGAGCTTTACTTGAGAAAGAGCTTCAAATCGATATACAGGTAAATACTAATAGGTCGATATGTGTGGTGTGTGTAACAAGAATAATAGTACATGATATATATAAATGTAATTATAAAGTATATAGGCTAGGCTCCAAAACTGTGTAAAATTTCTTCTCCGAGAACAATTTTACTCGATGGCCGGCCTGGAACCAATCAGAAACGCTAAAAAAAGTTTCGGAATATGGCCATCGAGTAAAATTTTTCTCGGAGAGTAGGTTTTGGAATGTAGCCTTAATATATATAATTTTATATAGAGAATGTCACTTGATGTTACAAATGCTTCGGAAATTGTTTGATTAATCAGGACAAAGAAATCTTTACCTCTTTTGTCTATTATTAATGTCAAATGGAACAAATACATAATACAGTAATAAAATAAAGCTAAGTCCTGTTACACTATTCAAATTTCGAGTCTAACATCGTCGCAAACGCGTGTATAATTTCTATCGAACCGGATCTTGTGTTCTTGCGAATATTTTCTATATCTTACTGCAGTCGTGTAATCTATGTTCAAAGAAAATGCTCGCGATATTATCCAAGTTCAAAACACATTCTGTAATCCTGTATCCTTTAGTGCAATAGCAAAAAGTCAACTGCTGAAGAGAGAGTTGAAAGACAGAAGAACTTCTTTCCAAATCATTTTAAATCGACAACCATATTAAAATAATAAAAAATGGAACATTTCATATATATTTTTCTAACAAAGAATATATATAATCATTGTTTTTTTTATGAATGGATTTAAGATATAGTTCAGAGATAAGCTCTTCAATTATATCGTTTTGTCTGGATTGTAATTATCAGCGCATTTCAATAATACTTGAATAAATATTATTGCAGAAGGATCTGTCAACGGAACTCGCTACCAGGACGAAAGCGGAGAGGCATAAGCAGGACGAGGTGAAAGTAGGCAGTGCGAAACGAAAAGCCAATGCTCAAGTGGCACAACAGGTCAGCCCATCTAGCCGGAGCGGTGGTAGCAGCAGGCCGAAGAAACACAAGACCCAGAGTAACAGCACGACACCACCTGGCGGTTCGGCGTCCGCGACTCGCATCAAGAAAGAGAAGCTATATTGCTTGTGCAGAACCCCCTACGACGAGACTAAGTAAGATTTCTAAGACAAGAGAGATTTTGAAGCCATACAAGATTCAGTTTAATTTTTATGTGTTCTAGAATCGCGTATACATTTTAATTAGTTAAAAACAATTTGAAACTTTTTTATTTTAATTATGAGATATTGCTGATAAACTCATAAGCTACCGCTGCAAAACGAAACTTATAGTATTAGCAAAGTATTCTTTAATCATATGTCTCTTTTCCAGAATTACATTGTATTTTGATTTAATCGGCAAAACGAGACTTTAAACTTTGATATCAATAATTGAATTGTAAAATATTCTTATGAAAATTATATAAATAACTCGATTCTTTTTAAAGATTTTATGTGGGATGCGATTTGTGCAACAATTGGTTCCATGGTGATTGTGTTGGCATAACGGAGGAGATGAGTAAATCTCTGTCGGAATTCGTTTGTACAGAATGCAGACATGCAAGAGACACGCAGGAATTATACTGCTTATGTAAGCAGCCTTATGACGAATCTCAGTAAGTACATAAAAATGTAAAAGTATAATTATACATTTAACATTGTAATATAAAAGAATTAAAAATCATAAAAGTGTTATAATTAAATTTAATTAATTTATGAATAAATTAATTTAAAAATATTACATTCTTACATTGTAATATTAATTATATATATTTAAAGTTATATTTAAATTAATTTTTTTTCTATTCCGTTTTTAATAATTGATTTTCATATATATTTTTAAATATATAATACTATATACAATATTAATAGAAAATTATATATAAATACAATGGATTTAATTACATCCTTAATATCTGTAGTAACGTATCTTTCTCTTTGTTTAAAGGTTTTATATATGCTGCGACAAATGCCAAGACTGGTTCCACGGCCGATGTGTCGGTATTCTTCAATCAGAGGCTGACAACATTGACGAGTATGTCTGTCCGAATTGCCAACGTAACTCCTCTGTCAACTTTGCCAATATGAAAAACCTTAATGCAAAGGATCTCGATCTGTTGAAGAAATTAATTAAACAGATACAGGTATATATATTCTCTCTTTATTGAAATATTATAAGAAACAACAAAAAAGTTTTTCTCTATATTTATATAAAAAAAATGGAATATTTATGATGTATAAAGTGTAAAAAATACATATATCTTCATTCAACTCTTTGCTTAAGAATTCAGAAATCAACTCGATGGAATTAACATTTAGTCACACAATATTTGTTTACACAAAACTTGTTTCTTTCAGGCTCATAAGAGCGCATGGCCCTTTATGGAACCAGTAGATCCCAATGAAGCACCAGATTATTATAAAGTTATAAAAGAACCAATGGGTAAGTATCAACTATGAATTTAACAACTTCATTTCTCTTCGAGCCATTTTGTTATAAAAGTATAGAGTTTTCTGAATGTAATATATACTTTGATCTCTAAATAGTGTAAATGTATAAACATATGAAAGATTTTTGATATATATTTATTTAATTACATATAGATTATTCATTGTTTTAGACTTGCAGACTATTGAATTGAGAATAAATGACCGGTCCTATAAAAAACTGAGCGAGTTTATCGGTGATATGACAAAGATATTTGATAATTGTCGCTATTATAATCCCAAGGAGTCGCCATTCTTCAAATGTGCCGAGTCTCTCGAGACATACTTTGTTCATAAAATCAAGAGTCTGAGGGAAAAATTCTCCGAAGGGAAGTAAATCAATCAAAAAGAAAAAAAAAATTAAAAAATAAATAAAACCGATGTAGCCGCATGTGAAGTCGGATCGAAATGAAGTGCACAAGAATTAATTTACTGTGCAGTGCGTGTCACGCAAAACAGAACAGAACAGTTTGTGCCAGTACAGTACACTACACATAGAAAAATTGAAACTTTCTCAGAGTAGGCTTAAGTATGTAAAAGTAGAGAACGCACCGGTCTCCGCTATATTTATTATAGTTGTGTGAACATTCTCCTCTTCCCCCCCCCCTCCCCCCTTCCTCTTGCAACTTGCGAATTCTGAGTTCCAATTATGCTGTACGAAGTGTGAATTTTAAACCAGAACTTACAGCTCATGCCGTAAGATCTTACCTACGAAACTTTTTTTCGTTGCTTATTACTAAGTAAACAAGAAATAGAAAGCCATATATAGGATATAATTAACTCTTATTTTATTTTTTTTAACTATTATTTTCCGTATTAAAATACAATTATGTAACATAATTCTTTTGTTTTTATTACCAAAAACCCCTTTAATTTTTCATTATTTTTTCTGATACATAGAAATAGAGAATTTGACAGATTGTAAGATCCGTTTCACAGTTCATTTTTTTATAGCTGTGACAACGAGCATAGCATTCCCAAATCACTCTTCAAATCCTTCCTACAGTTTTTTGCAACACTTTAAATATTCTTATCACACTTCTCTTAGAACAGATATAAATAATATTCAGATTTTCGCCTCTTTGTATCGCATATGCCTCATGAATACAAGAAGAATATTCATTAGTCATATGGATATTAAATATGCTAAATAGAAAGTAACATACAAAATGGATTTTACAAAATACAGATTTACTTCATTCCCCTATTGTAACTTTTTCTCTGTATTTTCTATAAAACATGAAAACTTTATTAAAAAAAGAAAAAGATAAATTAGCCAAGTTTGTATCACGACTTTCAGAGATCAACTTTAAATGATAAAATGATATCTGGCAATTGTTGAATTACGAATTCATCTCGCTTAATGATTAGTATTACTATGAAGATAAAATCGTAATGCTGAGAGTTTATTTTAAATTGTATCTCGAATTATTTATTTTAATTAGATATTTATAATTCCTCCGAAGTAGCCCATATGTATTATTTTCTATGCAAATAATGATCTTCTCAGATGTAGAAAGACAGAGAGACTGTTAATATATTAATTTGACACTGATCTAAGTTAAGAATATAAGTTCGAATTCAGGACTGATTTAATCCGCACACATTATCATATTTTAACTATAAAAAAGTGCAATAGGCAAGTTTGTATTTTTTGTATATTAAATTTTCTTTTTCTATA